TCTTCTAACTGCAGGTTTGGACAATACACAGAGCTATGCAAATGGCCGGGGTGGAATTGTGGTTTCCTTACACAAGGGTAAAGAAGGCACCTAGCCCACAGAGGCAAGTGGAACAGCCCGTGCTGCTGAGGCTTGCACGCAGATGAACACGCTTTGCCCCTGAATGATGGGAATCGAGATTACCTTTCTTTAGTTTGTGATATTGTCCTTCATATAATCGCTTGTTGGAGATCTGGATTGCGATTGTAAATATGATGTGTGACAGTGGTTCTAGCTGTACTAACCACAATGCTGAATGCCAGTATCCATTAGCAGGGCTCCCTATTTGCTCCGATGGCTCTGGGAGTAAAGTGTGGGGAAACCCCGCTGATAGACGACGCTGGGATTGTCTACCAAAAATGAGGTCCAAAAAAAACCAAAATTTTCTTGGATGTCGGGATGTAACCCGCGGGATGGGCGGAGCAGGGCGGTTCTGCTTTCCCCGGCGGAGAAACGAAAGCGAAAGCGGCGCGGCGGAGGGGCAGCGCAGCCATGGCGGGGCCGCGGCCGGGCTCCTTCCCGCTGCTGGTGAGCGGGGATTGGGGCACCGCGGAGCCGCCGGCCGCGCTGCGCAAGAAGCTGCTGCTTTACTTCCAGAGCCCGAAGCGCTCGGGCGGCGGCGAGTGCGAGCTGCGGGGGGGACCCGGGCAGCTGCTCGTCTGCTTCGCCCAACCCGACGGTGAGCCAGGATGGAAGGGGGGGGCTGTGGCCGCAGCGGTGCCGGCCGTGTGGCGGCAGCCCCCACTGACGGGTGCGTGCTGTGTCCGCAGTGATGCGGCGGGTGCTGGACCGGCCGGCACACGAACTCGAGTGGGGACCCCGCGGGAAGCTGTCGCTGCTCGTCACCGTGCCGCCGCAGGAGGGCGCCCGTTCCACGCAGCAGCCGCCCGCTGAACCCGAGACGCCAGGTAAGCGGCGGGGCGGGGGTCCCTCGAAGCTCGGTGCTGCGTGGCGGACGCCTCTCGCCCGCCGCACCCCTCCTTCCTGCCGGGGCTCCGCGAGCTCAGAGGGCGCTCCTACAGCCACGTGGTTGGAAAAAAAGGCAAAATATTTCAGCCTGTGACTTTGCCTGCGTGAAAAGAAGCGAATTTCACGCCGCGTTAGCTCTGGAGTACGCGCACTGAGCTTTCTCTTCGTCACTTACGCAGCGGCTGAGAGTGCGCTGTTATCTGCAGCTGACGAGCCCGTGCCGTCTGTGCCCACCCTCGCTGAGCACGATGCCGCCGCGGCCGCAGGATCGGGGCTGTCGCCGCAGCGCCCACCGCCTCAGGAAGCGCCTCCGGAGGGGCACGGTGAGTGTTAAGGATACCC